CAAAATCACATATATATATATACATGAATTTGCGCAGTCCTGCCGCCCTGTAGCAGTAGTTCTGCTATAGGGCGATCAGGATGCGGTTAATGAATTGACTTTAATGATTTATCTAATTTTTTTTTTGCGGTATTTATCTCACTATTTTAACAAATGTGCGGTATTTACCTCACATTCGATATTTTACTTTGATGAATTGACTCTTATTATCGCATGCAATCATTTATGCGAATGAGTCACGTGACCGTGTTATCGCATGCGGTAACCTTTAGTGAATTGACCCCTTAGTAGCAGCAGCATGCTTTTTTTTATCTCCTGTCATCTCCTGTCAAAATACTCCTCCTGAAATGGTCTAGTCAGAGCCTTGACCTTAATCCCATAGAGGTGCTGTGGAATGACTTCAAGAGAGACATTCACACCAGAAATCCTACAAGTGTGTCTGAGCTGAAGCTGTTTTGTAAAGAGGAATGGTCAAAAATTCCTCTTGAAGGTTGTGCAGGTCTGATCCAGAGTTACTGAAAGCCCTTGCTTGCAGGCATTGTGGTTGATTTAACCAGTTGCCGACCAGCCACAGTACATATAGTGCAGCAGGGTGGCACCGCTGCACAAAATCACGTATATATACGTGATTTAGCATTTTGGATAGGAGGCGCGTGACCACCCTACCCGTGCCACCGATAGCAGCCGCGGGTGTCAATCACCAGGTCCCGGCCAGTGATTACCCGCTGGAGCCCGGCAATTGCAGGCAATCACTGACAGGGAGCACGGCTGCAGTGTTTACACTGCAGCTCTCCTCCCTGTCAGTTTGAGCACACTGGTCCGGATTGCTGAGCAGAGCAGATCAGTGTGTTACTGTGAAGCACACCCCCCTGCCCCTAGTAAAACACTCCCCTCACACAGTTAACCTTTTAATTGCCTCTCATTGTTAACCCCTTCCTCCCCAGTGCCATTAGTACAGTGTCAGTGTCTTTTTTTTTTTTTTGCACTGATCACTGTATTGGTGTCACTGGGGATGTCAGTGACCCCAAGTCAGTTCCCCCCAGTGTCAGAATGTCTGCCGCAGTCCCGCAGTTCCGAAATAAGTCTCTGATCGCCACCATAAGTCGCTGATCGCCGCCATTATTAATATAAAATAAAAACAAAATTCCAGTATCTATACCGCCATTTGTAGACGCTATACCTTTCACGTAAACCAATCAATTTACACATATTGGGATTTTTTTAACAAAGACATGTCGCATAATACATTTTGGTCTAAATTTATGACAAAATTAGATTTTTAAATTTTTTTACTGGATATGTTTTATAGCAAAAAGTCCAAAATATTGTTTTTGTTTCTCAAAATTGTCGGACTTTTTTTTTTAGTGCAAAAAAAATAAAAAATGCACAGGCGATCAAATACCACCAAAAGAAATCTCAATTCGTGGGAAAAAAAGGACGTAAATTTCATTTTGGTGCAGCATTGCATGACTGCGCAATTGTCAGTTAAATTAACGCAGCACCGTAACACAAACCTCTTCTGTAATAAAGGCAAATAGACTGTGCACCTCCGTGAGGCACTACAGGTTTGACCTGGTTTCTAGCCAAGACCTGGCTTTCAGGCAGAAAATTCTCCAGACCATGGTCCTTCCCTAGGTATACTGTACATCATTATAGTCTTTAATGTAACCATCCTGGAGGATTCCTGAAAAAGGACTTATAAGGTAATAATATGTGTTTTCAAAGGATGTTAAAGGAATTATTCCTGAAGTGCTATGATGTGGTGGTTGAGCGGGGTCTTCCTCCCTTCCCTACCCCTCCCAGCTCAACCATCACATCATGACTTTCCAAAGATCCATTTTTTTACTGTAGATAGAGGCAAGGGAGCGCTGAAAGGGCCGTAAGTAAAGAATGTGGGTCTGTGGAAGAGGGAGAATAGGAATTTTGACTTGCCATGAGATGTGGTTGCAGGCAGGCTGGACCTGCAAGAGTGAAGGAGGCTTTAAGGAGGGCTTCCAAACATCTATCAACAAAATTCTTAAAAGGGCGAACATTCTTGGTAGGAACTGTAAGGTGTTTATTGAGAAATTAAATAGCAGAATTCACTACCAAAACAGCCAATTTCTTCTTAAAATCCTTGCTGTTTCAAGATTGGGCTAGTCCCATAGTGCACAATTTGTATGGGAAAAGTCATGTTTGACTTGGTCAGCATGTAAGAGCCCATAGCGGCTTGTTTTGGTGCTGCTAGACAAAAACTAGTGTGCACAACATCAATAAGTGTGTCCACAGCAGAGAGCATTTGGGGTGAAGTCATAGCTTGAGGTTCATATAATGCAGGAGGATGGGTCACATTTTTGGCCTCTGGAAACCTAAGGTTCTAGAAGATCTGGGAATTTTTTAAAGAATTCAAACACAGTGGCAGAAAAATCTGCTTTTGTCATGCAGGCCACATGGTGCTTGCCTAAAAAGGAGCTAGTCAGAGTAGGGGAGCAGTGTCATAGTAGGACATTGCTGCGGGACAAAGGAATAGCCATCACCCTGAGCGATGGTTTAATATTTTTGTAGGTGATCTGCAGAATGCACGTTATTCAGCCCTTTTGTCCCAGCTACCTTGGGTCTGTGATCTGCCATTCTCAAGCGAGGGGATCCCTAGTGAGGTACTGAGGAGGCGCTGAGAAGGTTAGACACAAATATAATAGGGGGCACCAAAATACAGTGAATAACTCACTATTCCTCTGCCTACAAAATGGCATTGTGTGCTATGCACTGTGGGATATCTTATTAAAGCCAGGCACAGTCAATATACAGGGAAGCCGTGTCTTACATTATCTATGATGCTGGGCCTACTATAAGTTCAGACTTTGCTTTTCATGTTGGGCATACCCCCAAAGGGGTCTTTAGGGCCTGGGGACCATAGAAATGGACTCTGATCCTGTATCAGTGTAGCACTTTGCAGCTAACTACAAACATTGTAGTTTGTACCAGGGTGAGCACCTAATGCAGACAGCCTGAAGCAAACATTACAGGCTGACCCCACACAGTGGGATCCAGATATGGGCCTTTGAGGGCTACTAATCCTAAAATTACCAACTAGTGTAGGGCAATCACCTAAGGACACTAGCAAATAATGTAGTCTCACAGAGTGAGCTGGAATATGTGAGTACACAGTAGGGCAGCCCTAGCAAGTTTTTTGCTGTCATTGTACAATTAAAATATGGAAGGACTGGTGCCTGTTTGATGGAATTTCCAAAAGCTTGAAAGTGTATGGCATGCAGTAACCAGCATTTTTTTTATTATTCCCCTCCTCTCCTAGCAGTATTAAGAAAATCAAATGTCACAGCTTAGGATAGGCATGACACTGCCACTTCCTAACCTAACTAATACTATCTTATCCTATAACTTACCTATATTTTTTCACAGACTTTTTAAAATATCTTTTATTTTTTTATATTTTTTATATTTTTGCTAAGCCTAAAACTGAAGCTATAAGTTTTACATTTTTGTCATTTTACTTCATCTAAAGCTTCTTTTGTGGTTATGTCACCACCTCTGTAGTCTCTGAAACACTAGAGATGGGAGTATAAAGGACATGGAGTAGGATAAGAACCTGTGAGTGATGCCTATTCCATCTAAAATCTTATTCTACTAACTTATGCTATAGAAACATATCTTATTCTAATAGCATACAATACATATACAAATCTTACTTTATTAACTGATCTATTTTTCCCTCACCTCCACTACAGCAACACGTCATCCCTGGCTCACAATGTACCCCTACCTATCCACCTCACCCTCCTCCCCAATCACATGCTGACAGTACCTCCTCTGCCACTTCACCTTCCCTCCTCTGGCTCACAGCTCATTCCGCTCACCCCTAACCTGGTAACAGTGCATTCCTCTGGCCAGCAACAACTTCACCAGTCCTGCGCACAGCACCTCCTTCCCACTTCACTCCATAACTCTTTTGGCCACCTAAGGGTCCTAATGCATCCCTACCTGGCTACATCACCCCCCACTCAAAGTGCATTCCTCATCCCTTCCTTGCCATCTCATCCTACCCCTTCCCCACAGCTCTTCCCATCTACCACATTCCACTGTGACAGTACCTTCCTCCCATTTACCCCACCCCTTCGTCACAGTGCCTGCCACCCACCTATAACCCCAGCCACAGTGCCTCCCTTCCATTTACCTCACCCCCCCCCCGAATCCCCCTCACTCATTCACAGCACCTCCCTCTCATGTCTTTTTAAAGGTGAACTTACATGTTAAACTATAACAACCACACACTTTGTTTTTTTTGATAATTTTTTACTTTTTTTGTATTTTTCTCCAGTCTATATGTCACTCTTAGACAGGTTAATTTGGTTTTTGATAGTTAGCTAACTGGCTGGCAGTTTGAACTGGCTTTCTTATTCCCCTCTTTTGATAAGTTATACATTGTTCTTTGTATGTTAATATTGGAGGTTCAGTGGGTGCATTGGACACCCTGGCTGCCGTTGTGCTACATGCTGGGTGTCAGGTGCGCTCCCATGACCTTAATGAGGGGTGGGCTGCCTCAGGTTCACCTACCCTTGTTTCTATCCATTTAAATGCATGTGCCTCCACTCTGAGGACTCTCAAGATTTAGAGTTAGGACCACAGATACTCAGGGTGCCGTGATGTGGCTCTGTGGCTTACGTATGTATTTGCAAATGTGTGCTAACAAAACCCCTGTTTTTAAACGCATGTTCTTAGACAGGTTAATTTGGTTTTTGATAGTTGGCTAACTGGCTGGCAGTTTGAACTGGCTTTCTTATCCCCCTCTTTTGATAAGTTATACTTATCCATGTTCCTTGCCGACAATAGCCATTATTAGACTGGGGTAGGCTGGCAAGTTGAACTGGATAGTCCTATTTTTTACTAGGTGGTGTAAAGGTGTATGCAAGTGTGTGCGTGTACATGACAAGTGTAAATGTGTGTCTACACACACGTACAATGATAGAAATGATGTGCAGACACCTGTTTGTGGGGAAAACTGTTTATATTGAGATGCAGGACATCCCAAAAAGCACACAGAGCATAGACCTGCAGAGAACCGGCACCTCCACTGAGTTCTCCCTCAACTTACACCTCTCACAGATGTAGTCTGTGCCTGGTCTGAGGAGTCTCAGCTCTCTTCGTTGCCTTTTCACAGCCTCACCGTGGTGCTCCTTCCTCTCTCGTTCCCAGACACGATGGTGAAGATTTTTCATTACCTGATACAAAAAAACAGTGAATTATATTTTCACTACAAATAATTATGAAGCAGACTGAAATATTCTGGATAGTGAGTTGTTCAGAACATACATGTAAAATCAGAAACCATGCAAGCACTGATATGACATACAGCCAGATAAAAGCTTCTGTCATTTGTATATGATCTCATTTTATCTGTAGTGTTATTTTCTTATCCTATATGTGACAACATCTCTGTACAAAGCTAATTTTTGGGTTAGTTTATAAAAACAGATACCATAAAGGTGGACCTGTCATCAATATACAGTATCTAGATACAGTACTTGTCTTACATTCCCATTACAGTATAATGAACCAAAGGTGAAATTTGGTCTTTGGGGAAAAATAGCCCACCTAGTACTTCTCACATTATATTTGTGCCCTGAGATTATATTTTGTCATACTTGTGCAAACTGAATTTTCAGAATGATCACACTGCATGCAATGTCTCTTTGCCCTATTACACTAGGGTGCAGTATAAGAGTTTGGACTAGTTTACTTACTTGCTGGCATTCCTCAGGCCTGACCCATGCTCTGAAGTTCATCCTCCTGAAGATCTTCTTCACGTCATCATGAAAGGTGGAGTAGCGAGTAAAATTAAGGATAGAGAGATGGTGATATGCATCTTCTTCCATTTGGTTTGCAAGATATCTGAAGAGATAGAAAACATGGAAAAGGTAAGTATATTGTAGATAGATATCCAGTGTACAATTTTGTTGCAATATGCATGTTTGCACTTCCTATTGCCAAATGGCAATTACCAGGTATTTTTAACCTTTTAACCAGCCTAAAACTGGAAAGGCAACTAATGAAGGCAGTACAAAATATGGCCACTGCTCCAATTTATAACTGGCCTTCACAGCAAGGAGCACATGGAAGGGTGACACATGTCAAATAATAAAAGAGAAAAGAGTAAAATTCCAAGCTCAACTTACTGACCAGCTTGCAAACAAACCGAGTTGTCATGGGTAACAGTATGCGTTAAAAACAGGGGTTTAGTTAGCACACATTTGCAAATACATGCATAAGCTGCAGAGCCTCTTCACGGCACCCCAATATTCTGCAGTTTCTAACTCTTTATTTTGAGAGCCTAAATAGTAGAAGCACATGTATAAATGTATAGACTGAGGGCAGATGAGCCTGAGGGAGCCCATCTCTCCTTAAAGGTACAGGGGCGCACTGGACACCCAGCATATAGCACAATGGCAGCCAGGGTATCCAGTGCACCTCGTCACCAGCATATATAGAATATCGTGCAAAAGTTCATTTATTTCAGTAATGCAACTTAAAAGGTGAAACTAATATATGAGATAGACTCATTACATGCAAAACAAGATAGTTCAAAACGTGATTTGTCATAATTGTGATGATTATGGCTTACAGCTCATGAAAACCCCAAATCCACAATCTCAGAAAATTAGAATATTACATGCAATCAATAAAACAAGGATTGTACATAGAACAATATCGGACCTCTGAAAGTATAAGCATGCATATGTACTCAGTACTTGGTTTGGGCCCCTTTTGCAGCAATTACTTCCTCAATGCGGCGTGGCATGGAAGCTATCAGCCTGTGGCACTGCTGAGGTGTTATGGAAGACCAGGATGCTTCAATAGCGGCCTCCAGCTCTTCTGCATTGTTCAGTCTCATGTCTCTCATCTTTCTCTTGGCAATGCCCCATAGATTCTCTATGGGGTTCAGGTCAGGCGAGTTTGCTGGCCAATCAAGCACAGTAATCCCACGGTCATTGAACCAGGTTTTGGTGCTTTGGCAGTGTGGGCAGGTGCCAAGTCCTGCTGGAATATGAAGTCAGCATCCCCATAAAGCTCGTCTGCGGAAGGAAGCATGAAGTGCTCCAAAATCTCCTGGTAGACGGCTGCGTTGACCGTGGACTTAATGAAGCACAGTGGACCAACACCAGCAGATGACATGGTTCCCCAAATCAACACAGACTGTGGAAACCTCACACTGGACTTCAAGCATCTTGCAGTGTGTGCCTCTCCATTCTTCCTCCATACTCTGGGTCCTTGGTTTCCAAATGAGATGCAAAATTTGCTCTCATCAGAAAAGAGGACTTTGGACCACTGAGCAACAGACCAGGTCTGTTTTTCTTTAGCCCAGTTAAGTCGCATCTGATATTGTTTTGTTGTTCATGAGCGGCTTGACAAGAGGAATATGACATTTGAAGCCCATGTCCAGGTTCCGTCTGTTTGTAGTGGCTCTTGATGCACTGACTCTAGCCTCAGTCCACTCCTTGTGAAAGTCCCCAACACTTTTGAATGGCCTTTTCCTGACAATCCTCTCCAGGCTGCGGTCATCCCTGCTGCTTGTGCACCTTTTTCTTCCACATAACTTTCTATTAATGTGCTTTGATACAGCACTTTGGGAACATCCAGCTTCTTTTGCAATTACCTTTTGATGCTTTCCCTCCTTATGGAGGGTGTCAATGATGGTTTTCTGCACAACTGTCAGGTCAGCAGTCATTCCCATGATTGTGATTCCTACTGAACCAGACTGAGAGACCATTTAAAGGCTAAGGAACCCTTTGCAGGTGTTATGGCTTAATTAGTTGATTAGAGTGGGACACTTTGAGCCTAGAATATTGCACCTTTTCACAATATTCTAATTTTCTGAGATTGTGGATTTGGGGTTTTCATGAGCTGTAAGCCATAATCATCACAATTATGAGAAATCACGGCTTGACTATCTTGCTTTACATGTAATGAGTCTATCTCATATACAAGCTCTGCGTCAATTGACAGCGCTATATAAGTACCTGAAATAAATAAATATTAGTTTCACCTTTTAAGTTGCATTACTGAAATAAATTAACTTTTGCATGATATTCTAATTTTTTGAGTTTCACCTGTAGTTATAAAATAGTTGTATGGCTTTACTGTGGGCAAATGACTGCTTAAGGAAAAAAACAAACACTGCACACTTAGGCCCCTTGCAAGTTTTTTTTCTATATGGCTAAACACAGCTTTCTTTGCTTACTTAATGTACTGCATGTTAATCGTGATTCACTTTTCTAAGTCTATTTTGACCCTCTATGTAGGGTTAGTTTTTCTTGTTGATATTATTATTAATATTATTATTATTATAATACAGTATTTATATAGCGCCAAAAAGTTTGCTCAGCGCAGTACATTATAGTGGGGGACAGTACATGAGATAATGCAGTGACAATACAATACATGAGGGGTTCGAGAGCCCTGCTCTTTGGAGCTTACAATCTAGGAGGGAGGGGGTAGTGGTACAGGAGGAAGTGGCTGTGGGGGATGGAGTGGTAGGAGGAGTGGAGGAGATCGGCTGTTAGGTGAGGGCGGGGTAGGCTTCTCTGAAGAGATGGGTTTTCAGGGTGCACCTAAAGGTGAGGAGGGTAGGTGACAGTCTGATGGGTTGGGGTAGTGAGTTCCAGAGGATGGGGGAAGTCCTGGAGAAGTCCTGGAGTCTGGCATGGGAGGAGGAGACTAGGGAGCTAGAGAGTAGGAGGTCTTGTGAGGAGCAGAGAGTACATGTTGGATGGTATTTGGATATCAGGTCGGTGAGGTAGTTTGGGGCAGTAATATGAATAGCTTTGTACGGCAATGTTAGTAGTTTGAATTCTATGCATTGGGCAATCGTAAGCCAGTGGAGGGAATGACAGAGGGGGGTGGCAGATACGGAGCGGTTGGTAAGGTGGATGAGTCTGGCCGCTGAGTTCAGGATAGACTGAAGCGGGGATAGTCTGTGATGAGGTAAGCCGGTGAGGAGGGAGTTGCTGTACTTGAGTCGTGGGATAATAAGGGAGTGAATGAGTTGTTTAGTAGTGTCTGGGGTTAGGAACGAGCGTATTTTGGAGATGTTGTGGAGGTGGAGCCTGCATGTATTTGCCAGCGATTGGACATGAGGTTGGAAGGACAGATTGGAGTCTAGAGTGACACCTAGGACTTTGGCTTGCAGGGTGGGACTGATGGTGGCGTTATTGGTCGTGATGGAGAGGATGGGGGGGGAGCGGGCTGGGGGGAAAAACTAGGAGCTTGGTTTTGGAAAGGTTTATTATGAGGAAGTGGAGTGACATCCAGTCTGATATGTCATTCAGTAGGCAGGTGATTCGGGCAGAGACTGAAGGGGTGAGGCGAGGGGTAGAGAGGTAGATTTGCGTGTCATAGGCGTAGAGGTGGTAGTTGAAGCCGTGGGAGTGTATCAGTTGGCCAAGGGAGGAGGTATAGATGGAGAAGAGAAGGGGCCCAAGGACAGAGCCTTGGGGGACCCCAACATAGAGGGGGAGGTGGCACCGTTATAGGTAACACTGAAGGAGCACTGGGATAGATAGGAGGAGGGCCAGGAGAGAGAGGGGTCTCTGATGCCAAGGGAGTATAGTATTTTTAAGGAGAAGGGGGTGGTCAACTGTGTGCAAGGCCACAGAGAGGTCGAGGAGTAGGAGGACTGAGTAGTGGCCATTAGCTTTGGCGGTTAGCAGGTCGTTGGTGATTTTGAGTAGGGCGGTTTCGGTGGAGTGTAGGGGACGGAAGTCAGACTGTAGGGGATCAAGGAGGTTGTTGTCATTGAGGTGGGAGCTTAGGCGATTACAGGCTAAGCGCTCGAGGAGTTTGGATGTAAATGGCAGCAGGGAGATGGGTCTAAGGTTGTTCAGGTCGGTGGGGTCCAGGGAGGGTTTTTTTGAGTATGGGAGCGATATGCGCGTGCTTTAGGGGGGAGGGGAATACGCCAGTAGAGAGGGAGAGATTGAAGATGTTGGGTGAGGGAGCGTAGGATGGAGGAGGAGGGTGACTGGAGGAGTTGTGTGGGGACAGGGTCAAGGGGGCAGGTGGTGAGGCGGGCTTCTGAGACGACCTTAGGAACCTCTTCAGTGGTAGCAAGGCCGAAGGAGTGGAGTGTTGGGGGGGTTTTAGTGTGCGGGATGTTAAGTGTGGTGGGGGCCAGGGCAGTTGCGAGGTCAGAGGAGGGGAGTGTTGAGGGGGTTATCGTGGGAGGGAGGCTAGGTGGGGTGGAAGATTGAGCATTGGCGATGTGTATAGTTACCAGTTGGCTCATGGCCAGTCATTTAACTACAAAAGAAACCTCAGATAGTTTAAGGTAAAGAAAAAAAAAGCCCTGAGAACCCGGCCATGTGACCTGTGAAAGTGACATGATCAGCTCTCTGAGATCTCTCGAAGGACGAAAGTGGGGCGTACCCGGAAGTGAGACAGGAAAGGCGGAAGTAAAGCCGGAGAAGAAGGAAGAGAAGGAGATCTCCCGGCGGGAGAGAGGAGGCGGATACGGGCAGACAGCTTCTGGCCTGTGGCTCCTTTTCTTTCACTGAGGGAGCCCGGGCCCCTTTTTTTGAAGGTGGCTATATATATCCTGTTCTTCTGCTGGCTGATATCCCTGGTTAACACCTCATTTGGCTGCTGCTGCTGTCTGTGGATTTCCTACCTTTGCCTGTCCTGGGAGATATGACACCTAGTGGCAAGTTTGGAGATGACAACTACCTATCCAGTGACCTACTTCCAGAGTACTAGGAGTAGGTCTTAATTACTCCATGCTTCATTTGCATATGTATCCGGTTAGTGCAATCTACTCTCAGTTTATCACCACAAGAGTCACGAACATTCCAGTCTTCCAGACGCTGATTTATCACAGAAGTCACGTTAATACGTTATGTTAACCTAGAAGCTTCATAATTTATCGGACTTTTTAGCATTGGGGATTTACTCATTTATCTTTAGCGCTGCATATTCTTACCATTTATGTACCACTTGAAGTTTTAGAGGTTTACTTCCTATGTCAGCTGCTAGCCATCCCTTCCTTCACTGACACCTAGCGCTTGGTTTATTTATCTTTTTATCTTGATGCTTCATTGTATGTTAATGCACTTTTAAAAACCTCCCCTCACTTTTATCACTGTTATACAAGCTGTACACTCACTACTTTACACTGTAGCAAAGTGTCATTTCTTCAGTGTTGTCACATGAAAAGACACAATAAAATATTTACAAAAATGTGAGGGGTGTACTCACTTCTATGAGATACTGTAAGTATGGTGGTACCGCTTTAACTATCCAGTCCTAGTTGCACAGTGGTTATGGCATTTGTACTATTTATGGCAGGCTTCCCTGTGATTTCTAAGTGCTGAAGTTACATGTTTACTCTGATCTTTGGCTTGAATAAAACTGAAAATTCAATTGTCTTTAAAGCCTAAACATCTAGTGTATGTAAAAGTACTAAAATACTTACAAAGCTGCAAAGAAGTTGCGGACAGTGTGTTCTAGTTTAGCTCTCTGAAAGTAGATGACAACCATCGCGAGCAAGTACTAAAATAGACAAATAATATGCAATTGAATACACTTGTAAAACCATGACCTTCTGTTCTCATGGCTGATTAAGAAAAATGGATTTTCACTTTTCTGCTGGACCTAAAGCCTTGTACACATGGGCCGAAAAGTGGCCGAAGCAGTTCAGCAGGAACTGGATGACTTTCTGCCTGTATGTACAGATATCTGTTCTACAGAAGTCAGTCTCAAACCGACTCCTGTCAAATAGGCCTGCTGGAAAACCAGCATCGGATCAGCACTGGCAGCCAATAGCTGCCAGCGCCGATCAGTGAATTCCTGGTGAGGAGCAGTCTCCCTGGCAGAACACAAAGGCACAGCAGGGGAGATCAAAACACTATCATCGTTGCGTTAGTACTGTGATCTGTTAGGATTTTTTGTTCAGCACACTGGTTTGAACATAAAAACTTAGAGTGTGTACACAGCTTAAGAAGTAGACAGTTGGGGCTCAAATGTTTGCTGATGTTATCTCATTAAATGCTCATGGGACATTTCTTGTAATTGTGATAAGTAGAGCACAGGGGAATTAGTAGCAGACATGCACTGTATATTTTACCTCTTTCATGTGCAGTGCATATGTGGTACAACTTTCTGTATTTTATCTGCAGTACATATGGGCTCTTTCCTGTGGCATTAAAGGATAAGTCCACCTTTTAGCCAAAAACAATAAATTCACAATGTTTGCAGGTAAAAAAATGTGCATTTACTATTTTTGGTTGCAGAAGTCTGTAAACCATTGCACCAGTGATCAGCAGATGACAGGTACCATGCAGGTCTCCTGCAAATCTGTCAGTATATCTGCTTGCTCGTACAGGATGTAAGAGCAAGCAAATATACTGACAGAGAGTCAATGAACTATCACAGCGCTCCACAGTGCTGTGGTAGTTCATTCAGAACTACAAGCTGACAGTCACAGAGGAGCGGTGACTAGTCTGTTCATAACATGTTACACCCTGAATATGGGTGTAACATGTTATGAAAGGTGAACTTATCCTTTAAGCCATAAATATTAGACGTACCAATGAGCACACAGAGACCTATACCTGTAAAATGTAATTATCAGTCACATTTATGGCATGTTTTATGTGTAGTACTCTCCTAGTCAGCTAGGGGGAGCTAGACTCCAATTGTTAGCCAGGAGGCCTGAGTAGCAGCCTGGGTGTAATAACTAGCAGGGGTCAAATTGTATTTAGAGCCGAGAGGCTCTGCAGACTGGCTCTCTGGAATTTCCCCCTGCTATAGGACTTTGGAGAAAGATCTAGAAGCAACGGGCGGATCTGAGGACTGACTAGTCTGCACTCTTAGAGGATCCTGGCCAATCCCCAACAGGAAGCTTGGCAAGGGGGCAATGACAGCCTTTAAGAGTAACTGAGCCTGCTCAGTTGGAGGAGAGTTGGGGTGGAAGATGAGGAACTGAGGCTGGAGAGCAGGAGCCTGGGAGGGAGCCCAGATGGGAGAGGGGCTCACCTCCAGGCAGGAAGAGGAAGGAGCACTCCAGTGGGAAACCAGATTAGCAACTACCCAGGACTATCTTCTTTGAAAGTGACAGGCACTTGATCGCCTGCTCAGGGATTCACCCAGAACAGCTGGATTAGGAAAATCTGGGGTCTGGGGTGGTACAGCAGGAGATGCTGGCTAGCTCTCCAAGAAGAAGATTTTTATGTAAAGACTTGTATATAGTTCAGGAGGTTTGTCCTCAGTTACAGTTCCATTGGGCATCCCGTACACCCCTTACCCTATCCAAGTAACAATCCCCTAATAAAATCACAAAAGCAAAGCTCAAGGACTGGTTATTGACTCCTGGATGCAAGTCTATGTGAAAATGCATGTTGCCTAGCTGTGCAGGACTATAGGGGACCCAAATCTCTTGCGACTCCTAAGGGGGTAGTGCTACACATGTTTAACTTCACACAGAACCAAAATCTGACAACTACAGCCAAAATGAATGTCATGCTGGCCTCTTAGGTGTCAAGATATGACAAAGCCAAATGATGCAGTCAGGTGCCTTGGTTTGATTCAGACAGTTAGGGCCTGTTCATGCTACCTGAACACTAAATGTTCTGGACTATTATGTGGGCAGCTGTCGGTTTCAGCTGCAGTGAGCTGCGTTGAGGGAGCTGTGTGATGCATGCTTTAGCGCATCACAAAGTTCCCTTTTTTGGTCAACTTTATCTGCACAAAGTGACACTTCATTCATGTCACACACCAGCGCAGTGTATTGCACTCCTGCACACGATCTTGCCCTGCATGCTGGTGTCACTGAATGGCATTTACCCAGCAAAGCAAGGAGACAAGTGAAGAGCTGCTATGTTGGAATTGCTGTGGATCAAGCTGCAGTGTATTTGATGCACAGAGAGATCTATTCACCCTGGGAATTATAATATACTGTATGTGCTGTCTGCCTTTGCTTGGGAGGTTAAAGTTCTGGTAAGCTTAACTCTTACCTTTGGGTGACCGGTGCCTCATTTCCACTGTCTGCGGATCCAGGATTTGGACTTCACATTATTTTTCACTTTGCATACTGGTGTATGATATGTTGCACTTTGCTTTATTTCATAATAAAGCCTTCTAATGCTGCATTATGAGAGCACTCTTATCTTGTCCTGCATGCTTGTAATGATACTGAGTGGCAAGGAGACAAAAGGGCTGTTGTGTGGGGAGTGTTTGCAGATCAGACGGCAATGTACTTGAGGCACAGATCCATCCATCCACTATAATACATGCATTGTCTGCCTCTATTTGGGAGGTTGAAGCTCTTGGAAGCTTAATATTTAACTTGGTTGTCACATTGTTTTTTACCCTTTGAGGCTGATTTACTAAAACTGAAGTTTGAAAAATCTGGTGCAGCTCTGCATAAAATCCAATCATGTTTAAAGTCTCATGTACACAGGGCATTTCTACAGCCACTTTTAGGGGCATCAGGCATTTATTTTTACTGCGATCCTGTGTACATGCACACATAGGTTTTTTAGAAGCTTTCAGTAGCAGTAGTGTTTACCAGCAGGAAAAATTCCTAGGACCAGTGCATCCAGGAGCAGCATCATTTTGGCAGAAAAAAATGTTTAATGCATGTAAATACATACAAATGCGCCTAATCGCATGTTAATGCTAGGCACATATGGGCTTGAGAGTTAATTCATTTTACTGGCCAGAATAATCATTTATTCTGGCCATTAAAATTAACACCCAAGCGACTGACGCTTGTAAACGCACCTAAACCCTTGTAAAAACATTAGACACTTTGTCAAGCTTTGGGCATTTTTTCTGCCAAAGTGCTGCTGCCAAGAGGAGCAGCATTTTTAAGATATCCTGTGTGCATGAGGCCTTATTGTCAAAGCTTAATTGAACAAGCTGAAGTTACCATGCAGAGCTGCACCAGATTTTGCACTCTCCAGTTTTAGTAAATCAACGCCTTTATATATTGGAAGATGATGTGCTTACCTTTAATTAACTGATTTATGGGTGTGTCTATATCTATTTTTGACACATGATTTTGACATTTTTTATTAAGCAGTTTTATACTACGTTTATGTATTACATAATTTATTTATTTGATAGGCACTACATATACACTATATTGCTAAACGTATTGGGACACTGCTCCAAATCATTGGATTCAGGTGTTCCAATCAACTCCATAGCTGCAGCTGTATAAAATCAAGCACCTAGGCATGCAAACTGCTTCTACAAACATTTCTGAAAGAATGGGTCACTCTTAGGAACTCAGTGAATTCAAGTGTGGTACCGTGATAGGTTGCCTCATGCACAATAAGTCCATTCATGAAATTTCCTTGCTACTAAATATTCCGTGGCCAACTGTTAGTGGTATTATAACAAAGTGAAAGCAACTGGGAACAACAGCAACTCAGCCATGAAGTGGTAGGCCATGTAAAATGACAGAGCAGGGTCAGGGCATGCTGAAGTGCACAGTGCACAGAAGTCACCAACTGTTTGCAAAGTCAGTAGCTAAAGAACTCCAAACTTTGTGTGGCCTTCAGATTAGCACAACAACAGTGCATAGAGAGCTTCATGGAATAGGTTTCCATGGCCGAGCAGCTGCCTCCAAGCCTTACATCACCAAGTGCTATGTAAAGTATCGGATGCAGCGGTGTAAAGCACGCTGCTACTGGACTCTAGAGCAATGGAGACATGTTCTCTGGAGTGATGAATCATGCTTCTCTGTCTGGCAATCCGATGGATGTGTCTGGGTTTGGTGGTTGCCAGGAGAACGGTACTTGCCTGACTGCATTGTGCCAAGTGTAAAGTTTGGAGGAGGAGGGGATTATGGTGAGGGGTTGTTTTTAAGGGGTTGGGCTTGGCCCCTCTTTCCAGTGAAGGGAACTCTTAAGGCGTCAGCATACCAAGACATTTTGGACAATTTCATGCTCCCAGTGCACAAAGCAAAGGTCCATAAAGACATAGGTGAGCGAGTTTGGGGTGGATGAACTTGACTGACCTGCACAGAGTCCTGACCTCACCCCAATAGAACACCTTTGGGATGAATTAGAGTGGAGAGCCATGGCTGTCCCGGGTCTCTGCCTCCTCATTGGCTGAGACAGTAAGTGGGAGTCATTGGCTCATGCTGCTGTCAATCACAGCCAGTCAGCCAATGAGGAGAGAGAGGGAGCCAAGCCGCAGCTCCATGTGTGAATGGACACACGGAGTAGCCGGTGCCCCCATAGCAAGCTGCTTGCTGTGGGGGCACCTGACAGGAGGGAGGGGCCAGGAGAGCCTGTGGAGGACTCGAGAAGAGTAGGATACAGGCTGCTCTGTGCAAAACCACTACACATAGTAGGTAAGCATAGCTTGTTTGTTATTTTTCCAAAAAAATGAACTTTTAGAATCCCTCTAAATAGAGGCAGTTTACACCAATGGATTGCATTGGTCACAGCGGTCATGTTGCATACCATACATTACAATGCACTGCTGAATTGAGACTTGAATGAATGGTCATTTGCTGACATTTAAAAAAAAAGTTACAAAAAAGGAAACAGTGTGAAGGTTTGTAGCAACACATCATATCGTATCTCACTACTCCTACACAGGGCACACCAGTCACTGCAGGTTGTAGTGTGGTGCTAGTGTGAACCGGCCCTAAAATCTTAATAGTTTTCAACAGGTTAATTTACTGTAATTAAAACATATGTTCTCAGTATTTTTATATCTGCTGCTTTCATTGAAATAATACTTGGTAATCCTTCCATGAAGGTTACTGTTAAAGTTGTTCTTCAGTCAGGTTTAAAAAAGGTAAAAGTCAGCGGCTATAAATACTGTAGTTGCTGACTTTTAATGAAAGAACATTTACCTGTCCAGGGATGCAGATGATGTCCTCACCAGGACTAGTTCTTTGCCAGTCATCAGGTCCCTGCTTCCGGCATGTTTTAGTGTGGGAAGCTGGCTCTGACTCCATGTGGCTCTGCAGCCAGTTTCCCACTGTGTATGTGCGCTGTGTGAATGATCCCAAAGCCTCCTGGGACCTGTGATGTGCCCCAGAACGTGGGGGGAGAACTTCCAGTGGTGCTTAAAAATTTTTGCTTAAGTTTTGCTTAACAGAGTGTGAATTGTGCCCCTGTATTGTTACTCTGCCACTTATATCCCTGACCTTTCCTTCTCATTTCTTTTCTTGGTGTTACAGGAGCTGCACATAAAACCGGATCTTTTTAACAAGGTCTCAGATGTACAAGGTACATTTTTTGCAGCTTCAAAAAACTTTTAAACTAGATACAATTGAGTGGATCAAGACAACCTACAAGGAAAAGCTTATCCATTTTACTGGATTGATATAAACTATCAGTGATTGGTTGTACTGCTCCCTTGATTGCTTTTGAAATCTGAAGCTTGTGGAAAGTGCCCTGTGTGAGTCCATGTACACAGAGGTAAGTTTATCAATGTTGCAATTAAAAATATGTGAAGCCTTTGGTGACAGTTATGTAAATATTGTGTGAAAGCATTGATAAGTAAACTCCAGTGGGTTCTTTTAGCTAATTATACAACATTTAACACTGAATACTTTACCATGAAATAAATGACTTACGTTGTCTGATATCCAAAGGCATCGGTCTATGGCAAGGAAATACTTGATCTTTTTCTGTCCTGTAATAAGTGCAAATTACAGAATTGTAGACATTTATATGAGATATAGCAATGGGTTATTATTAAAAAAAAATAAATAAAAAGAATTCCTACGCAACCCTCAAAATCTTCCACTTTTTTGCACAAATATTCTTATTGCTGCCCACACTCTATGTGCTCCCACATATATAATGAGTGAAACTCAAAAAACAGTGCCATGCAGTATTATATCAAACACACACAATGATGCAAAAACATACACTCACTGGCTACTTTATCAGGTACACCTTGCTAGTACCAGGTTGGACCCCCTTTTGCCTTCAGAACTGCCTTAATTATTCATGGCATAGATTCAAAAAGGTGTTGGAAACATTCCTCAGAGATTTTGTTCCATATTGACATAAGTTACTGTTGCCTTTTCATCATCTTGAACCAGTCTGCCCATTCGCCCCTGACCTCTGACGTCAACAAGGCATTTTCATTCATACAACTGCCACTCACTGGATATTTTCTCTTTTTGGAACCATTCTTTGTAAACCCTAGAGGTGGTTGTGCATGAAAATCCCAGTAGATCAGCAGTTTTTGAAATACTCAGTCCAGCCTGTCTGGCACCAACAACCATGCTATGTTTATAGTCACTTAAATCCCCTTTCTTCCCATTTCTGATGCGTGGTTTGCACTTTAGCAAGTTGTCCTAACCACATCTAGATGCCCAAATGCATTGAGTTGCTGCCATGTGATTGGCTGATTAGCAATTTGTAAGCAAGTAAGCAATTGAACAGGTGTACCTAATAAAGTGGTCGGTGAGTGTAGATTAAATGATGTTAACTCTATCACTCTCTTACTCTATTAACCAGTTACCAGTTTTACTGCTACAGGGTGGACTCACTACACAAAATCACATATATATATGTGATCCGCACTCCTGCCATGATCGCGGGTAGAAAGCACATGCACCAGCTGACCCAGCAGTTCTGTGATTTGGTGTTGCACCAATCAGATTCAGGCCAGTGATGTTTGATGAATCTGCTGAGTGATCGTGCCTGACAGATCTTCCTGTGCCTGTGTTTACATTACAGCGTTAGCAGGATCAGCCCCGGCACTTGCCAACACCTGCCTTTAGTCCCTATGCTTAACCCCCCCTTGCTCCCCCAGCACGTAGAGTATCAGTAGATCACTGTCACTTGATACATTGCACACAAAATTGCAGGGTTATCAAGATCAGGCCTGATCTCTGCTAGCACTTGCAGGTACATTCTTTTATAGTGGTTCAAGCAGTCCCTGACAGCCAGGTGCTCCTTTCCTCATGAATCACACTAGGTACCTATACATTTAGTAGCCAAAATGTCCAACAAAAGGTACACTAGTGAAGAGGCCTACAGGATTCTGAGTATTTCAGATGAGAGCAAAGGGGAAGCCTCACTGACAGAATCTGCCTCAGAATGTGAACCTGTAGACAGCAGTGGCACTCTGACAGAGAGCTCAGACAATGGAGTCAAGGTCCCTGCTAAGGCCAGGCATACCGACCTGTTCCCAGGTTGCTGAGGTGGTACAATTGCATGATGATTCTCATATGCAGCAGAGTGCCAGTACAAGTGCTGCTTTACCTTTTGGTGAACTGGCGAGCAGCAACGGTCTAGTACATCCTGGTGTTTTACATACCAGCACTGCAGTATCACTTGGTGATGTGTCGAGTGCCATAAGTACAGTACAAGCTGGTGTGGTGGCTAGCACAAGTAGTGTCCCGCAGCAACAATTTGCACACAGGCCCGTAGAGGCCCTAGTGTCCTTCCAGATGTGCTTGCAAATCCTGATTGGCAGCTCAAAAATTCTTCAGCCCCCGTACTTCCCCCATTCACTGCCCAACCCGGAATTCAGGTGGAAACAGCAAATTTAACTACTAATCCCTTGATTTTTTGGAGCTGTTTTTCACGGAAGATCTGTATGAAATTGATTGGGGATCAAAGCAATTGCACGACAATTTATCGTTGGCAACCCAAATTCAAACCTTGCCAGACCATTTGCATGAAAACCTATTATAGTTTTGAAATTTAAAGTTTTTTGGGCCTACCCCTCAACATAGGCATTACTAAAAAAAAGTGAATTGAGGTTGTATTGGACCACAGACCCGATTCATCATATGCCTGTGTTCTCTGCTGCCATGGCCAGGCATAGATTTGAGAATATAATGCGAATTATGCATTTCAGTGACAATACACTCTATCGTTCTCGGGGTGACCCTGAATATGATAGGCTTCACAAAATTCGGCCCCTCATAAATCACCTTAACCAAAAATTTGCAGATGTGTATATTCCCTAGAAAAACATGTGTGTTGATGAGTCCCTCATTAGTTTTTCTGGCCGCCTTGCATTTAAATAATTTCTCCCCAGTAAGTGTGCCAGATATGGGGTCAAAATGTATAAGACCTGTGAGAGGGCAACAGGCTATACATGTAATTGTCGGATTCACGAGGGAAAAGATAGTCACATGGAGCCCTTTTTCCATATAGGGTAACACTTATACATGGACAAATTTTATACAAGCGTGCCACTATTTAGACATTTATTCAATCTTGGAAATAGCGCATGTGGCACCGTGTGACCTAATCGCCAGGGCTTCCCCCAACAGCTTGTACAGTAAGTACCCGACTTAGAAAGAGGGAAAAAGTCTGCTTGATGAACTGCTCACAGTGAAGTGGAAGGACAAATGGGATGTTTTCATCCTGTCTTCCATTCACGCAGACACGACCATCCAAATTTCCACGGCAGCTGGTGTTGTTGAGAAGGCCCTCTGTGTCCACAACTATAACCTTAACATGGGTTGGCTGGCCTTCAATGACCAGGTGGTTCTGGCAAGCTTAGTGGAATGCTTTAAAAAAGACCTGGATTCTTTCTTAGATACACAGAATATAACTAGATACTAATATTTATAGGTAAGGTTGATCCAGGGAATATCTGATTGATCGGGGGATCAGGAAGGAATTTTTTTCCCTGCAGGAGCAAATTGGATCATGCTTTGTTGGGGTTTTTTTTGCCTTCCTGTGGATCAACTGTGGGTATAGGCTCATAACTTTTTTTTTAATGGTTGAACTGGATGGACTTTTGTCTTTTTTCAGCTAGACTAACTATGTAACTATGTGGGATGGCTGCATTCATACTGTAAAACGAACAGGCATGGTAAGTCACTAATTAGGGAATGATTAGAAGCAGGGAGACCACAGCCAATTCTACAGATTAGTCCAATTCCCTCTGCATTACTTTTGGCCAGAGATTCCACAGTTCAGATCCTCTTTAAGACAGGTGAGGATAACCTGAGCCATCCCTGGTGATTAAGGCCATCAGATATTTTGAAAGGAGATTCTGTTAAAACTTAAATGAGGTTTGGTGTGACATCATATCACCTCCCCACCGCATATCAAATGCCTCTGAAAAGTGATTTCAGCACAGTTTGCTTTTCAGAGGAACTGTATAACCTTGTACATGTAAACTAAAAGTTTTACATACTGATGTCGAAGGAATAAAATATCTTACCAAGCAGTTTCTTGAAGGCCTGCCATTGATTTTCTGTGATGGTGAAGCACTCAGCAGGTAGCAGTGGTTGAGACATGCTCCTGCAGTCCAGATCTTCTAATATATCCTTTTTTTGGTAAAATATAAAAGGTGAGGTTGAGTCAACTAAATAGATTCCTGTAAAATTGCAAACAACTATGGCACTTAAATTCTCCCTAGGCAGTGCTTTAAAATCACTTATAGATTATCAGTTTAGTTTTACCCATGAATGTTGGCCATAGAATTGTTTCTCTCACTGCAACACTTGTAACAATAAGGATAAAACAGTAAAAACATACTTAACAAGCTACAAGCTCCCAGGATGCATTATACAGCATGCAACGATAGTATCTGATATCACCAATGCTAAGTCTCTGTCAGGGGCAAGTTTTTGATATGGGGTCCTGTGATTTCTAGGTAATCCCTTGCCTTCAACTTTGCCTTCCTAGGCCTCGATTACATGGACATACTTAAGAATACACTAATGTGAAAGGCCATTTTTGCCTGTCAGGGATACACAGGTAGTCCCATTGATGTCTATTGGGATGCGGTGGTTGCATACATACAACCACTCAATTTGAGAATTTGACAATTTGACATCCTTGCAGGTTTGAATACAAACCCCTGAACACAGTGTGATTTCGAGGAAATGCACCTGCACCCATGCAGACGGTAGCAGCAGCTGTGTTAATACAGCCATTGCGTCCCAGTAGATATCAATGGGACTTCCTGTATGTGGATGCACAGAACACTTATGCATCTCGTGCAGGCAAAAATGGCCCTTTGCATGGGTGTACACTTAGGTACGCCCCTGTGAATGAGGCCTTAGAAGCAGAAACTATGATATGCTATACCAACTAGGCATTGCCCTTTCCAGGCAGAGCATCCTAATGGCCACTGAGGAGTCTGACTGGACAATTAAATTATGTAACTGAGCCAAGAAATCAGTTAAGGGAAACAACAAATTCCTAAACCCACTGCAGTCAGTTTATCTATAATGTGTGTGCATATATAGATAGATATATACAGTATGTGATAAACTCTCAGAAACAAAGTGTATATCCCAAGTGGAAACATTATCAAAGCAATCTGAAAACATACAATTAATCAACTTAGACCGATATATAAAATCTCCATTGAAAAAAATGAATAAATTTTGCAGTGCTTGAAGTAACACTCCTCTATCATAATATTAATGCATATATCTCTACCATTCTGTCATAAGTGAAATAAAGCATGCATAACTTCATTTGTTCATTCAACTGGTTGTAAGTTGCAGCAACGTAAATGAGACTCCTGTGAATGTCAAACTCAATCACCACTAACACATATGGACAAAAGGCTTACCAGAGAAATGAACCCCAGGACCTAGAGGTCAACATGCATTTATGTATGGTTCAATCCCCATGCACAATACAAAATTCAGGAACAACCAAAGGCTTACCAGAGAAATGGATCCCAGGATGTAGAGGTCAGTATGCACTTATGTATCGTACAATCCCCATGCACATAGCAGAATTCAGGAACAACCGAAGGCTTAACAGAGAAATGGACCCCAGAAGCTAGAGGTCAGTATGCACTTATGTATGGTATATTCTTCATTCTGGAACAATTGGCTGGTAGAAGGTACCATATCGGCCACTCCATCACAAATAGACCCAAAAAAGAAATACTCCAGATAGTGATGATTATCTGTAAATGATTTATTAAAATCAACACAAAAATATATACTTACTAGTGTAGTGTATTGACGACAGATATGGCCACTACACAAAATAAAAATGCCGAAATCATTTAAACAAAATAAATTAGACATTATGGGGTTTATTTACTAAAGCTGGAGAGTCCAAAATCAGACTCCCTTCTGCATAGAAACCAATCAGCTTCCAGGTTTCATTGCCAAAGCTTCATTGAACAAGCTGAGGTTAGAAGCTGATTGGTTTCTATGCAGAAGGGAGTCTGATTTTGGACTCTCCAGCTTTAGTAAATAAACCCCTAGATATCAGAATTATTCCAGATCAACTACTCTAAAATAGCAAATCCATCCACTTGCATGATCTGCATCTGCCTTGTCATATACTCATTCATTTGAGCCAGCTAGTTTCATTTACAGTACTGTATATTGCACACTATAGCCAAAAGTATTAGGACACCCTCTAAATCATTGGATTCTGGTGTTCCAATCACCTCCATGGCCATAGGTGTTTAAAATCAAGCACCTAGGCATGCAGACTTCTTCTACAAACATTTTTGAAAGAATGGGTCGCTCTCAGGAGCTCAGTGAATTCAAGCATAGTACCATGTTAGGCTGCCACCTGTGCAATAAGTCCATCTCTAAAATGTCCTTTCTACTAAATATTGCACGGTCAACTGTTAGTGGTATTATAACAAAGTGGAAGAAACTGGAAACAACAGCAACTCCACCACGAAGTGGTAGGCCACATTAAATGACAGAGCGGGGTCAGTGCATGCTGAAGTACACAGTGAGCAGAAGTTGCCAACTGTCCTCAGAGTCAGTTGCTAAAGACCTCCAAATTTCATGTGGCCTTCAGATTAGTACAACAACACTGCATAGAGAGCTTTATGGAATGGGTTTCCATGGCAGAGGAACTGCATCCAAGCCTTATATCACCAAGTGCAATGCAGAGCGTCGGATGCAATGGTGTAAATCATTCCGGCACTGGACTCTAGAGCAGTGGAGACGTGTTCTCTAGAGTGATGGATCACACTTCTCTGTCTGGTAATCCTATGGAGGTGTCTGGGTTTGGCAGTTGCCAGGAGAACGTTACTTGCCTGACTGCATTTTCCCAAGTGTAAGGTTTGATGGAGGGGGGATTATGGTGTGGGGTTGTTTTTCAGGGGTTAGGCTTGGCCCCTTAGTTCCAGGAAAGGGAATTTTTAAGGCGTCAGCACATCAAGACATTTTAGACAATTTCATGCTCCCAACTTTGTGGGAACAGTTTGGGGATGGCCCCTTCCTGTTCCAATATGACTGCGCACCAGTGCACAAAGCAAGGTCCATAAAGACATGGATGAGTGAGTTTGTGCAGGACAGTCAAGTTCCTCCACCTCAGAGTCCTGACCTCAACCCAATAGAACACCTTTGGAATGAATTAGAGCGGAGACTGTGAGCCAGGCCTTCTCGTCCGACATCAGTGCCTGAATTCACAATTGCGCTTCTGGAAGAATGGTCAAACATTCCCATAGACACACTCCAAACCTTGTAGACAGCCTTCCCAGAAGAGTTGAAGCTGTATAGCTGCAAAGGGGAGGGGCCAACTCAATATTGAACCCTACGGACTAAGACTGGAATGCCAAAAAAGTTCATGAGCATGTAAAGGCAGGCGTCATAAATACTTTTGGCAATATAGTGTATATGTCATCTATGGGATGCACTGAACCATCACTTTACAGTTTAGACCAGACAACAGCACAAAATTAATTCACTATATATAAGACAACCCACATAGCAGGGGTCTCCAAACTTTCTAAACAAAGAGCCTGTTTACTGTCCTTTAGACTTTAGGGGGGCTAGACTGTGGCCAGTGAGAGTAGAAATTGTCCCGGTATCAGTGGGAGTAAGCAGTGCCCCATCTTTGAAATTAGTAGAAATAATATGAAGTCGGATTCAAATCATTAGTAACACCTCATCTGGAATATGCAGTTCAATTTTGCGCACCAAACTGAAGAACTGGAGAAAGTACAGAGAAGGGCAACCAAACTGATAAGAGGCATGGAAGAGCTCAGCTATGAGGAAAGATTAGAGGAACTGAATTTGTTCTCTCTTGAGAAGAGGAGATTAAGGGGGGATATGATCAACATGTATAAATACATCAGTGGTTCCAGGGGCAGACTGAAAACTCATGGGGCCCCCAGGCAATAGGTGATCATGGGGCCCATGTGTCCTTACCTACACTCAAACCACACCCAAAAAAGCCTATGAAAGGTACCAGGGGCATCTCATGGGGCCCCCTACTGACCCCAGGCCCTCGGGCAGTGCCTGAGTTCCCAAATGGTCAGTCCGCCCCTGAGTGGTTCATATAGTAAACTCGGTGTAGAGCTATTCACCCTGAGGTCATCACATAGGACAAGGGGGTACTCTTTACGTCTGGAGGAAAAGAAATTTAGTCCCCAAAACACATAAAGGTTTCTTCACAGTGAGAGCTGTGAAAATGTGGAATAGACTCCCTCAAGATTTGGTTCTGGCCAGCTCAGTGGATTGCTTTAAAAAAGGGCTGGATTCTTTCTTAGATACACAGAATATAACTGGTTACTATTTATAGGTAAAGTTAATCCAGGGAATATCTGATTGCCTCTCGGGTGACAGGAAGGAATTATTTTCCCCTGAAGGGGCAAATTGGATCGTGCTTTGCTGGGTTTTTTGCCTTTCTCTGGATCAACTGTGGGTGTTGGATTATAACTTCTTTTTTTTTTAATGGTTGAACTGGATGGACTTTTGTCTTTTTTCAGCTAGACTAACTATGTAAGATGGCTGCATTCATACCGTAAAACGAACAGGCATGGTAAGTCACTAATTAGGGAACGATTAGAAGCAGGGAGACCACAGGCAATTCTAGAGATTAGTCCAATTCCTCTGCTGACTTTTGGCCAGAGATTCCACAGTTCAGATCCTATTTAAGACAGGTTAGGATAACCTGAGCCATCCCTGATGATTAAGGCCATCATATATTTGATATTGAAAGGAGATGCTGTTAAAAACGTAAATGAGGTTTGGTGAGACATCATATTTTTTTCAGCCATACTAACTATGTAACTATGTAATAGTGCCCCATTTTTGGTGTCGGTGGTAGGAATTATGCCCCATTCTTGGTGTCTGTGGAAGAATAGTAGCTCGTATCAATGGGAGGAATAGAGCACCGAAGACCGGATAAAGGCAAGCAAAGGGCAGCATCCATGGGACACAGTTTGGAGACCATTGCCTTATAGAATTAAATATGTCCCATATATTGTACAGATCTATCACATTATATATCAGAATCTATCCCAATCAGCTACACTCAAATAGCAAATCCCTCCATTTGCATCATTTGCACCCACCAAATCATATACTCATGCTAGCCAGTTTCAGAAATATGATAAAATACATGAATCTTCATCTGAAGTATACTTCCCAAGCAAAAAACATTCCCAAAGCAATCCCAGAATATGATTTTAGAAGAAACAGTCACTTACCTTCCCAGCTGTCTTCTCCCAGATGGGTCCTCTTAAGGTGTTTTTTTTTTAGCCAATGATGAATAAAAAATGAGTAAATTAATGTAGTGTTGTGTTATGAGGGAAAAATAGGGTGTCAAAATTTCAGTTTTGCTCGCTAATTAAGGTTGCTTTTGGAAATCAATCAGGAGAGGTTACCAAGTGTCTCCAAGTTGCTCCTTCCTGCGTCCAGTACAGTTCAACTGTCATTTTTGCAGCATGCCACCAGCCCAGACCTCAAGCTATAGTGTATCACGGTGGCTTTCTCCTTCCTATAAGTTTTTCACATACATTTTAATACCTATCATGTCTAAACCCATACCTACTGAACATGTCATGCTATATATCCTCAATCACCTGTCAGTTTACCCACTAGTATACCTTGGAAATATTTTCAATTTTTACACACGTTAAAATATGCTTTTTTGCTAGGATTTACTTTAACCCTCCCCCCAAAAGTATTTATTTTCTGAAAGCAGTGGTCTGGAGCTTTCCGATCATGGGATGTATGATCACATGACCCTAAACCCCACCTCCTGGCGTCTCAAACCCCTTAAAGAACCAGGAGGCACCAACTCCAAGAGGTTAATCTACATGTAATATCCTACCCCCATTTTGTTTAGCTGGTTAGTGGGTCATGGAGGAGGAGGAGGGATTGGGCTGTCATTTACCACTGTGTATACTCCCACATGTGTGACTCTATAGTCACATGTGCTGTTCAGATGTGATAGGAAATGCTCAGCATAGAAACTCACTGAAAACTGAGCATGGGCAGAGTTGCCTCTATAGATGCAAAATCTCCAGCTGAATTGTGGACATGAATAGAAGGTGGAGATAGAGAGCAGCAGGATCAGCCAGGTTTTTTTGCAGAATGAACAGCATGTAGTACAGCATTTATTGATATTTTTTTATGATGTAGGTTTAGTGACACAGGAGCCTGCAGAGCATTGCCCCCCACGATGATCAGATTGCAGGAGCAACATCAGACAATGCCTACAGCTTTCTGCCCATACCTCGCCACAGGCTTTCTGTTGGAAAGCTGGAGGAAGTGTCAATGAACTAGGAGAGCGCTATCCAGCACCCACACAGTTCACTGAGAACTACAAGCTTTCTGCTGCGATGACAGATGGGACTTGTAGTCCATTCACTTGTGGTTCATCCTGTGAATGCGCAATGTGGCTGTGTGGGCACATCCCTGCTATTTTATTTTTTCTTAAAAAAAAAAAAGCCATACTGTTTTAACCACTTCCTGCCCATAGGACTTCATATCATGTCCTCCGGTTGAAGTGGTTATACCAGGACGATGCCCAGTATCAAAATTTTCTGCTGCCAATTGTATGTTCAGCAGAAGTGATTGGAGTGGTTGAACAGCCACTTGATCACTTCTGGGGGTCAGTTCCTGGGCTCACTTGTCCAATCACAGAGCCCGGGACCAGTGTGACTGTCGGCAACAGTGGCACTACACACAGAGAGAGGAAATGACACTGTTCCGGCCTCACTGTGACCCTGGAAACGACGAAGATGTCACTTCCAGTTTCAGCTCCTTGCTTACCTGGTCGTTAGCGGCCAGCACCTTCACAGTTGCCCCTCACCCTGTGCTTACATGTAAACGGTGATCGCACCACACTTGTGAGGTATCGTCGCAAACAGGGGCGGGCTGACCATTCGGGTACTCAGGCACTGCCCGAGGTCAGTAGGGGGCCCCATGAGATGCCCCTGGTACCTTTCATAGGCTTTTTTGGGTGTGGTTTGAGTTTGGGCGAGGACACAGGGGCCCCATGATCCCCTATTGCCCTGGGGCCCCATGAGTTGTCAGTCCGCCCCTGGTCGCAAATGTCAGAGCAAGAGCAATCATTTTAGCTCAGGCCTCCTGTGTGACTCTAAACTGGTAACCTGTAAAGGCTTTCAAAGCATTGGAGATTTTTTAGGTACTGTAGTTTCGTGACGTTTTACGGGCGTACGCAATTTTAAAGTGTGACATGTAAGGTATCTATTTACTCGATGTAACATCAACTTTTATATTTTAACAAAAAAAATAAGTATTATATAGTGTTTGTGTGAAATAAAATTCATTAACCGCTTGCCAACCGCACTATAGCTGAAAGATGGCTACAGCGTGGTACTCCAGTTCTGGGAGGGTGTCCATGAACGTCCTCCCAGAACACACTGCACTGTCAGTGATCACTGTGTCCTATGGACAGAGCTGATCACATG